TCAGGTGATCCGCCCGCCTAGCACTTCCAAAGTGCTGGGATTATGAGCTTGAGCCACTATGCCTGGCCAATACACATATATTTATTTATTTATTTTTATTTTTTTGAAGTGGGGTCTCACTCTGTTGCCCAGGCTGAAGTGCAGTGCCTCAATCTCAGCTCACCGCAACTTCTGCCTCCCGGGTTCAGATGATTCTCCTGCCTCAGCCTCATAAGTAACTGGGATTCCAGAGAAAGGCATGGGGTAGAGTCTTCCCTGGAGATACCAGAGCGCCACGGCCCTGCCCACACCTCAATTTCAGGCTTCCGCCGTCCTGTGCTGTGAAAGAATGACTTTCTGCTATTTTAAGGTGCTGGGCGTGTGTATTTCGTTACTGCAGCCCTGAGAAGCCCGTGCTACCGTATAATTATCTGATGAATAGCACAGTCTTGTTGCACTGGGTGTTGGCACATCCTGGAAGAGTCAGTCCATTAAAAGTACGTATTGAACATGGTCCACAATTTTTGAAACCCTAAAAATAGCACTGAAAATATAACTATATAGTAGAAAATGTAATAGGTATATTTTGAAACTCTGTGAAGTGTCACGGGCATCTCTCAACCTTTGAGAAGCTCTGTTATATTCTTGTGTTTTTCTATTATATATATATATTTTTTAATTAATTTATTTATTTATTGAGATGGATTCTCGCTCTGTCGCCCAGGCTGGAGTGCAGTGGTGTGATCTCGGCTCACTGCAGCCTTTGCCTCCCAAATTCAAGCAATTCCTCAGCCTCCAGAGTAGCTGGAATTACAAACATGTGCCACCACGCCTGGCTAATTTTTTTGTATTTTTAGCAGAGTTGGGGTTTCACCATATTGGTCAGTCTGGTCTCGAACTCCTGACCTTGTGATCTGCCCGCCTCTGCCTCCCAAAGTGCTGGAATTACAGGCATGAGCCACTGCACCCAGCCTATTTTTTTTATTTTTTTTAGACAGAGTTTCACTCTTGCTGGCCAGGCTAGAGTGCAATGGCATGATCTCGGCTCACCACAACCTCTGCCTCTCAGGTTCAAGCGATGCCCCTGCCTCAGCCTCCAGAGTAGCTGGGACTACAGGCATGTGCCACCAGGCTCGGCTAAGTTTGTATTTGTAGTAGAGACAGGATTTCTCCATGTTGGTCAGGCTGGTCTCAAACTTTTGACCTCAGGTGATCCGCCTGCCTCAGCCTCCCAAAGTGCTGGGATTACAGGCATCAGCCACCATGCCCGACCAGTATGTTCTTTTTTATAGAGTCTCACTCTCTGTCACCCAGGCTAGAGTGCAGCGGCATGATCTCAGCTGACTGCAACTTCTGCCTTTCGGGCTCAAGCCGTTCTCCTGTCTCAGCCTCCCAAGTAGCTAGGACACTGGTACATACCACCACACCGGCTCACTTTTGTATTTGTTGTAGACACGGGATTTCACCATGTAGCCCAGGCTGGTCCTGGCCTCAAGTGATCCACCTGCCTCGGCCTCCCAAAGTGCTGGGATTACATTTGGGAGCTACTGAGCCCGGCCTGTATTTTCCTTAATGCTGTATTTTTCACCTTAGTAATCATCACTATTTCACAGATGTTACTTAATTCGCAGGTTGATTTTCTGTCTGTTTTATTCAATGTCCCAGTCCCTGGAGGGTGCCTGGTACACAGTAGTTGCTCAATTAATATTAATTAGGTGGATGAACTAATATATCCGTGAATTTTTCATTCCTATATCTTCGACTCATCAGAGTTTTCTAACGCAAACAACTCAGGGCTCAGGCAGATAAGCAAACACGCAGAACAGCCTGAGCGTCAGATGACAAGGGGCAAATGGCTTGGGGCCTACGTCTGAGATTCAACAGGGAATGGCAGGCGGCAGTGTTTGCACCATCTGTGGGGGCACCAGCTATGTACCTCCAGAAGGCTGTAGCCACGCAAGAAATGAGGCTCAAGGCCTCTCAATCTTATTATAATTTTCTTTTTTCTCTTATTTTGAGATGGAGTCTCACTTTGTTGCCAGAGCTGGAGTGTAGTGGCGTGATCTCAGCTCACTGCAACCTCTGCCTTCTGGGTTTAGGCTCCTGCCTCAGGCTCCCAAGTAGCTGGGACTACAGGTGCGCACCACCACGCCCAGCTATTTTTTTGTATTCTTAGTAGAGATGGGATTTTACCACGTTGGCAAGAAGTCTTGATCTCTTGACCTCGTGATCAGCCCGCCTCAGCCTCCCAAAGTGCTGGGATTACAGATGAGCCACCATGCCCGGCCCATTTTCTGTTTTTTTTTTGAGACAGAGTTTCGCTCTTGTTACCCAAGCTGGAGTACAATGGCGCGATCTCGGCTCACCGCAACCTCCACCTCCTGGGTTCAGGCAATTCTCCTGCCTCAGCCTCCTGAGTAGCTGGGATTACAGGCATGCGTCACCATGCCCTAATTTTTTGTATTTTTAGTAGAGACGGGGTTTCACCATTTTACCAGGATGGTCTCGATCTCTTGACCTTGTGAGCCACCCGCCTTGGCCTCCCAAAGTGCTGGGATTACAGGCTTGAGCCACCGTGCCCGGTCTGTTTTTTTTTTTTTTAGACAGAGTCTCACTCTGTCGCCCAGGCTGGAGTGCAGTGGCACCAACTCAGCTCACTGCAACCTCTGCCTCCCAGGTTTAAGCAATTCTCCTGCCTCGGCCTCCTAAGAGCTGGGACTACAGGAGTGTGCCACCATGGCCTGCTAATTTTTTGTATTTTTAGTAGAGACATGGTTTCACCATGTTAGCCAGGATGGTCTTGATCTCCTGACCTCATGATCCGTCCACCTCAGCCTCCCAAACTGCTGGAATTACAGGCATGAGCCACTGCACCTGGCCTCTTATTATGATTTTTCAAAGGAATCCAGATGCCTGGATTTTATGTGAAATACCCTTATCTTTTACGTCAGTTATCTATGACCGTGTAATAAAGTTAATGGCTTGAAACAACAATGAACCCTTTTTATCTCACAGTTTCTGTGTGACTTAACTGGATTCAGGTCTCATGAAATTTGCAGGTAAGGTGTCAGCGAAGGCTCCCGTCACCTGAAGATCTGACCAGTGCTGGAAGATCTGATTTCAGGATGGCGCACTCATGTGGCTGGCAGGTGTTCTTGTTTGTTTTGCTTTGCTTTTTTGAGACCGGGTCTCTCTCTGTTGCTTAGGCGGGAGGGCTGTGGGGGGATATTAGCTCCACAGCCTTCACGTCCTGGGCCCAAAGCAGTACTCCGGCCTCGGCCTGCTGAGTCGTTGGGTCTGTGGGCGCATGCCATCATGCCTAGCTAAGTTTTTTTATGTTGATTTTTTGTAGAGATGGTCTCACTATGTTGCCCCGGCTGGACTCAAACTCCTGGGCACAAGTGCTTCTCCTGCTTTGGCCTCGCAAAGTGCTGGGATTACAGGGATGAGCCACCACACCTGGCTGGCTGGCAGGTTTATACAGGTTCTTTGCAGGGGACTTCAGATTCTTGTCACAAGAACCTGTCCGTAGGGCTGTGTTTGTCCTCATAATCTGGTGACTGGGTCCCCAGAGAGTGAGTGAGTCTAGCCACAGAGCCTCTGTGACCTAGTTTCCAAAGTAACACACTGTCAATTCTGACATACTCCGCTGTTAGAAATAAGTCGCCAAGTCCGGCTCACACACAAGGGGGCATTCACTGGAATCAACCTTTTCAATGGAGGGGATCAAAGAATTTCTAGACATAAAACCAACAAATCTTAAAATGCTATCAGTGAGCTCAGATATCAAGCACGTTGTGACCCACCCAGCACAGGCCAGACGACAGCCTGGAAGATTCTGTTTAGTATGGGCCACCGAAGAGTACACTCAGTACCGTTCTGATCTTTATTTTTATTTTTTGTTTTAAAAATATTTAAATTTCTTTTTCATTTTTTTTTTTAAATTAAAAAAATACTATAGTTTGGGCATGGTGGCTCATTTGGGAGGCCGAGGTGGGCGGGTCACCTAAGGTCAGGAGTTCAAGACCAGACTGGCCAACATAGCGAAAACCTGTCTCTACTAAAAATACAAAAATTAGCCAGGCTTGGTGGTGCATGCCTGTAATCCCAGATACTTTGGAGGCTGAGGCAGGAGAATCGCTAGAACCCAGGAGATGGAGGTTGATTGTGCCACTGTATTCCAGCCTAGGTGAGAGAGTGAAACTCCATCTAAAAAATAATAAAATAAAAGTTAAAAAGATTATAAACAAATTTATTTAAACATTTTATTAGAAACTTAAAAAAAAAATAGAGATGGGGCTTCACTATGTTGCCCAAGCTGGTCTTGAACTTCTGGATTCAAGTGATCCTCTTACGTCAGCCTCCCAAAGTGGGTTTACAGGCATAAGCCACTGCACCCAGCCCTTATTTTTAAATTAAAAAAAATTTTTTTTTGAGTCAGGGTCATGCTGTTCCCCAGCCTGGAGTACAGTGCAGGCAAAGATGTCTTTGCCATGAAGTGCCATGATTAACATTCAATGGGCCTGCATATTTATTATTCTTATTGGAATAGAATGCTGCTGTCTCATTCCTCTTCCTGCATGAGTCATTCATTCACCCAGGAGGCACACACACCCATGACCCAAGCTACTTGGAGGCGAAGACAAGAGGTTCATTTGAGCCCAGGAGTTGGAGGCTGCAGTGAGCTATGATCATGCCATTGTACTCCAGCCCAGGCAACAAAGACTGTGCCTCTGAAAACCAAACACGAAACACAAAAAGAGTAATTCGCTCAATGTTTCAATAAATATTTGTAAGCATACATTATGTGACAGGCACCGGGCTAGATACTTGGAATATCATGACATGGTATGTCCCTTATTTTAGTGAAGGAATGACAGATTTAAAAACAAGCATGTAAATAATTAAGCAGTATGTTCTCAGTAAGTGCTCGGAAGAAAATAAAATGGGTGCTGAGGTGGCAAAGGCCTGGGGGTGGTCAGGGGCCTGAAGGGTGGGAAGGAGCCAGTCAGGCCAAGATGTGTGGGGAACAGCATTTTGTCTGTTTATTTGAGGCAGGGTCGTGTTCAGTTGCCCAGGCTGGCAGTGGCACAATCATGGCTCACTGCAGCCTCCACCTCCCAGGCTGAAGTGATCCTCCTGCCTCAGCCTCCCAAGTAGCTGGGATTACAGATGCGTGCCACCACACCAGGCTAACTTTTGCATTTTTAGCAGAGATGGGGTTTCACCACATTGGCCAAGCTGGTCTTGCACCTCGAACCTCAAGTGATCCATCCACCTCAGCCTCCCAGTGCTGGCATTACAGGCGTGAGCCACTGCACCTGGCCAAGGGAAGAGAAGTTTAAGCGGAGGAACCAGTAAGTGCAAAGGTCCAGTGGTGGGAACAAATTTGGCTGGGGTTAAGATATGGAAATGCCTGTGAGGCTACAGGGAGAGGCAGGAGCCCAGGTGGGAGAGGTAGAAATGAGCTAGAGCCCATGGGACCTCCCTGACTACAGATTTCACGGATCTAAGTGAGGCAAATAGGAAATCACTGCAAGGTTTTACGAGTGGAGGAGGAGGATCTGATATGGTTTTAAAAGCTCACTCTGGGCCACGTGCAGTGGCTCATGCCTGGTATCTCAAAACTTTGGGAAGCCAAGGCAGGAAAACTGTGGCCAGAAGTTTGAGACAAGACTGGGCAATATAGCAAGACCCCAGCTCTACAAAAAAGTAAAAAAAATTCTGGGTGTGGTGGTGCGTGCCTGCAGTCCCAGCTACTCGGGGGGTTGTCGGGGGGCTGAAGTGGGAGGATCACTTGACCCCAGGAGTTCAAGGCTGCAGTGAGCCATGCTCACAGCACTGCACTCCAATCAGGGTAAACAGAGAAATACCCTGTCGCTAAAAAACAAACAGATCCACTCTGTGCCTCCTGATCAGACACTAAGGACACAGCATCATCTTGTGGTTGCTCTACCCAAACTGCATGAGCTGTATCTAATGATGAGGAAGTATCAGAGAAACACAAATGAAAAGACAGTGTACAAAACACCTGGCCTATAAAATACTCTGCAAGGCCGGGCGCGGGGGCTCACACCTGTAATTCCAGCACTTCGGGAGGCTGAGGCGAGTGGATCACCTGAGGTTAGGAGTTCAAGACCAGCCTGACCAACATGGTGAAAAGCCATCTCTACTAAAAATACAAAAATTAGCTGGGTGTAGTGGCGGGTGTCTGTAGTCCCAGCTACTCAGGAGGCTGAGGCAGGATAATCGCTTGAACCCGGGAGGCAGAGGTTGCAGTGAGCCAAGACTGCGCCACTGCACTCCAGCCTGGGTGACGAGAACAAGACTCTATCTCAAAAAAAAAAAAAATTGTCATCCTAGTACAGGGGCCATGCTGTTCTCTGTATCATTCCAATTTTGGTATACGTGCGGCCGAAGTGATCACTCGACTACCTGTGCCAACATAATGAAACCCCGTCTCTACTAAAAACACAAAAATAAATAAATAGCTGGGCATGGTGGTGCAGGCCTGTAATCCCAGCTACTCAGGAAGGTGAGGCAGGAAAATCGCTTGAACCTGGGAGGCGGAGGTTGTGGAGGGCCCAGATCGCGCCCCTGCACTCCAGCCTGACCAACAAAGTGAAACTGTCTCAAAAAACAAGAAGAAAAAAAATAGAATATTGCAGGTAAAGTCTTGTTTGACTCCTCTGCTCAGTGCCATCACTCCTTTCTACCCTTTCCTGAAGGAATAACCGTCAGGATATGGTGTACGGATCCTTGCAGTCAATTAAAAAATAAAATACATATATCCAATAACCAACATGCTTTTGTTCTGTGTATTTGTAAAAATATTACCTAAATGGCATTATGCTATAAATATAATGTGTGTGTATATATTCCCTCTAGGCAAAATTACATACAGTGTTAGGCTTTACATATTCTTTTTTTTTTTTTTTGAGACAGTTTTGCTCTTGTTGTCCAAACTGGAGTGCAGTGGTGCAATCTCAGCCCATTGCAACCTCCGCCTCCCAGGTTCAAGCCATTCTCCTGCCTCAGCCTCCCAAGTAGCTGGGATTACAGGCGCACGCCACCACGCCTGGCTAATTTTTTGTATTTTTAGTAGAAACGGGGTTTCACCATGTTAGCCAGGCTAGTCTCGAACTCCTGACCTCAGGTGACCTGCCCACCTCAGCCTCCCAAAGTGCTGGGATTACAGGCGTGAGCCACCGCACCTGGTCTATGTATTAATTTTTGAAGACAGGGTCTTGGTCTGTCTCCCAGGCTGGAATGCAACGGTGCGGTCATTGCTCACTGCAGCCTGGAACTTCTGGGTTTGAGGGATCTCCTACCTCAGGCTCCTAGAGTGCTGAGATTACAGGTGACCTAGACTTTATAAAGATATGATCACTTCTTTTCTCAACATTATCCTTTTGACATCTATCTAACCTGTTCAAACAGATGACCATCTTTCCAATGTTCTACAGCATTAAATGCTGTGCACATGCATGAGGCATGAGTTTCCCTTCAGGGCCTCTCCCTAGAAACGGAAATCCAGGGTCACAAGCAGCGGGCATTCCCGTTTTGCTGTTAGATTCTGCTCTCCCACCAGCAGCGTCTGAGAGGTGGCTGGCGTTCCCGAGGGTCCCTGGACTTGCGTTTCCAGCTGGCCGGTTCTCGCGCGCCTTGTGCGCACTTTGCGTCACTGGGGTTCCCAGCGGACTCGCCTGCAAGTGTGCTCGTGACTGCTGGGCGGACCCCTGGGTCCCTGGGGCTCTTTCCCCACGGGGAACTCTTTTCTGAGGTGCTTGACTGCGCTGATTTGGGCCTTTATCTGTCTGCATGTCAGCAGGGGCGCCCAGGAAGGACCCGTGGGTCGGGGTCCCTCTAGCTCAACCTGGCCTAGGCTCTTCACAGCTTCAGCTCCACAGGGGGCCGGGAGCTTGGGCACTTCCTCATTCCGCCCCCGAGGGTAACTACGGCTGGAAGACCCGCCCACACCGCAAACGAAATTTCATCGTTTTGTTTGTAGGACGCGGCCGCCATGGCTGCAGACCTATGAAACGCTCCGAGAAGGGGTGCTATGGCCGGGCGCGGTGACTGCATCTGCAATCCCAGCGCCTTGGGACGCCGAAGAGGGCGGATCCCTTGAGGCCAGACTGGGAGACACAGTGAGATCCTGTGTCTCAATTAAGACAAACAAAATCAGCCCGGATGTAGCGCGCGCTTGTAGTCCCAGCTACTCGGAGGCCGAGACGGGAAGACTGCGTGAGCCTGGCAGTTCCAGACCAGCCTGGGCCATACAGCGGGACTCCGTCTCAAAAGAAATAAGCACCCGTGTTTCTGGGTGGGCGCATCCCTCTCTGATGCCTCGCTCTCCAACTGTCCCTGGGCCTGGGGGCGTGAAGGCTAAGCTCTGGGGAGACAAAGGCGCGGGCTGACCCTGGGGGACCGGCCTAGGACCCATTCATTCATTCATTCGTTCTGTCACCTACCGGTCCTGCGCCGGCCTATGCCCCAAAGACCCCAAGTACCCTCACTCCACGGGGCGCAGACAACGACAGGCTGGCCAGCGCCTGGAAGCCGCGTGCCTGACCGCGTCTGCCCGAGCGAATCCCGCCTCCCGCCGAAGAGGCCGCAGGGCCGCGCCTGTCCCGCCGCGCCCAGCATCTCCCGGCCAGGAGCGCGCCGCCTCACCAGTGGCGCATGCGTGCCCGGGAGCCCGCCCTGAGTGTTGGCGCACATGGGGCCCGCGGGTCGGCGTGCGTGCGCGCTCCCGCCTCGTCCTCCCACGCGGTCCACCGCGCCTACCGCCCCACCCTGCGCTCCACCGAGCCGGGTTGCGTGCGTGCGCGCACGCGCGGTCCACGTGGGCGGGCACCGGACCGTTGCTCCGCCCCTTGTCAGCCCCGCCCCGCGCCTGCCCCGCCCCTGCCGCGCGCCGGCGTCGGCTGCGTCTCAGGCGTTTGAATTGCGCTTCCGCCATCTTTCCAGCCTCAGTCGGACGGGCGCGGAGACGCTTCTGGAAGGTAACGACGCGGCTGGCCGGGCAGGGCCGGGGTGGGGGGGACAGGGGCCGTGGCGGCGGGACAGGGGCCGCGGCCGGGGTCAGGGCCCGGGCTGGTGGCCGGCCCCGGGGCAGCGAGCGGCTGTGAGTAGGTGGGTGGCGCGGGCCGGGCCGGGCCGGGGGAAGAAACGGGCGTGGGGTCGGCGCCCGCCCCCGCGAATCCCGGTTCCATCCCGCGCTCCCATCCCGCTCCCGGTCCCAGTCTCGTCTCCATCCCGGCCCCCCCGTCCGTCGTTCTTTGGGTCCCGCTGCCCCGGATGCCGGCCCCGCCCGCCGCCTTCCCGCTCCCAGGCCCGGCCGCCATGGCGCCGCGGGCGGGAGGCCTTTGTGGGGCGGGCACGTGGGGCGCGGGGGGCGCGGGAGCGGGGCCGCCATGGGCTGCGGGGCCGCGCGAGCGCTCGTCTCCGTCCTCTGCCTCCGCAGGAACGCCGCGATGGCTGCGCAGGGAGAGCCCCAGGTCCAGTTTAAAGTAGGTAACCCTGCGGGGCGGGCGGCGGCCGGGCCGGCCCGCGTGCGCCTCGCGGTCCCTCCTCCCGGGCCCACGATGGCTGTTAGCCGGGCCCCGCGTCCGCGTTCTTGGCGTGGCGGACTCTGGGATCCGGAGAGGTGAAGTGTTCTGGGTTTACTTCCAAAATGTGTTCTCCAACAGCTTGTATTGGTTGGTGACGGTGGTACCGGAAAAACGACCTTCGTGAAACGTCATCTGACTGGTGAATTTGAGAAGAAGTATGTAGGTATGTGCGGGAGCACCTTGTTCGCGGACACGGGTGGGAAACGGGTCAATGCGCCCACTCACTGGCATCGCTTCCGTCGCAGCCACCTTGGGTGTTGAGGTTCATCCCCTGGTGTTCCACACTAACAGAGGACCTATTAAGTTCAATGTGTGGGACACGGCCGGCCAGGAGAAATTCGGCGGACTGAGAGATGGCTACTATATCCAAGGTAAGCATCCGTGACTTGCTGAACCGTTGCTGAGAGCTTTTGTGTACTGCATCCTTCAAGGTTATAGAAAATCAGGCCGGTTCCGGCAAACAGTGCTTAATACTGTTAGGGGAACTGTGTCATTTTTGGGTTAAAAAACGTGAGCTTCGGGGAGCTGACCACCATTTTGGTGGCAGAGGAGAACATTTTATGCAAGTTGTGTTATTTGCATGCTGTGTCATGCTAGGCATGGTTTAGAAGAAACTGTGACTTACACTGGGTACATGTCATAGTTTAAAACAATCACAGACAGGCTGTTAGAGCAGTTCAGTATATGAAAACAGGCTCAGGTATGAATTTAGACGTAGTGATCAATGATTGTTTGTACTCCATTAAAAAACACCAGGGAAGATAGGGATCTTAGCAAGTGTTATGCAAGACTAGGTGATTTCTTGTTACATTGTTTGTACTAAGTTGCGGAGAGTATTTTTCTCAAATAGATTGATTTTTAAAATTGCAAGGAAGACGTTCATTATACCAAAAAGAGGAGTAAAGGAAATACTCATCTCTCCTGGATCCTCACTTTGCTGATAACAAATTATTTGGAATCATTCCATGCCTTTTGTTTTCCTTTAGTATGTACAAATAAACACAAGAATTTCCCCCCAAAAATCTTTTAACCAAAAAGTTGTGGATTCTTGCTTTATCAACTATGCCATAGCTGGCCCTGCAGGTGAATATATAGACTTTATTTGGGTTTGTTATTATTTTTTGAAACAGGGTCTCTATGTGGCCCAGCCCAGAGTGCAGTGGTGTGATCTCAGTTCACTGCAGCTTCTGCCTCCTGAGCCAAGCTGTCCTCCCACTTCAGCCTCCTGAGTAGTTGGGACTACAGGCACAGGCCACTATACCTGACCAATTTTTGTATTTTATTTATTTTTATTTTTATTTTTTGTAGAGATGGGGATTCATCATGTTGCCCATGCTGATCTCGAACTCATGAGCTCAGGTGATCACCCACCTCGGCCTCTCAAAGTGCTGGGATTACAGGCATGAGCCACATCGCTTGGCCTGTCTGGATTTAAGACAGGAATATTTCCTGGTATAGTCAGCCATGCCATTGAAAGACCTTCTGAAGAAGGTGTTTGCAGGCCCCTTACCCTCAGAATATGGCAGCTCGGTTCTGCAGAATCTCACTTATCATTAATCTACCCGAGATACTTTTTGGGATTAGGGTACTGTTAATGATGAAGTGTATCAGGGAGGTTTGACGGGGTCAGCTCATCTTGCTTAGGAAGAATTGTGAATTAACATTTTTAGAAATTGCGAATTGACATTTTTAGAATTGGAAGTGAAGGGAGAAAGCTAGGAGACTCGGTGAGGTCTAAGACCAGATGAATCCTAGACTGGTTCTTGGCATTCTTCATGTGTGTAGTAAACTAAGTGTACTAACTACCACAAATGTTCCTTTCAGCCCAGTGTGCCATCATAATGTTCGATGTAACATCCAGAGTTACTTACAAGAACGTGCCTAACTGGCATAGAGATCTGGTGCGAGTGTGTGAGAACATCCCCATCGTGTTATGTGGCAACAAAGTGGACATTAAGGACAGGAAAGTGAAGGCAAAATCCATTGTCTTCCACCGAAAGAAGAATCTTCAGGTGTGTGAAAATTAAAACTTCCTGAGTTATTTCTCTTAGAGGAGATGATACGTAAGACCATGAAATTGACCAGTCTATATTATATATGGAAATAATTTTATTTTTATGCTATTTTTATTGTTTTTAAAGACTGATAGAGATGGGGTTTCACTGTTGTCAGGGTTGGTCAACTGAAGTGTGTGTGTCTCTTGTTAAGACAGGGTCTTGCCCTGTTGCCAAGGCAGGAGTGCAGTGGCATGAACATAGCTCACTGCAGCCTTGAACTCCTGGCTCAGGCAGTCCTCCCACAGCCTTCCGAGTAGCTAGGACCACGAGCACTCACCACCACGCCCACCTAATTTATTATTTGTAGAGATGGGGTCTTGCTCTTGTCCAGGCCTGATCTTGTACTCCGGGCCTCAGGCAATCCTGCTACCTCATCCCCCCCAAAGTGCTGGGATTACAGGCATGAGCTACCATGCCCCACCAAGAATCTTTTTCTTATTTTGGAATGTTCTGGGAAAATCAACTTTAAAAACTAATTTTTACTTTTTTAAACAGTACTACGACATTTCTGCCAAAAGTAACTACAACTTTGAAAAGCCCTTCCTCTGGCTTGCTAGGAAGCTCATTGGAGACCCTAATTTGGAATTTGTTGCCATGCCTGCTCTTGCCCCACCGGAGGTTGTCATGGACCCAGCTTTGGCAGCGCAATATGAGCACGACTTAGAGGTATTGTGGCCACTTTGCTGTCCAGGCTGTTGTGTTTGGCTTGTGTATTCCTGGCAGTTTTGAGCTGGAGTGTTAACAGTGTTCCTCTCTTCATCTAGGTTGCTCAAACAACTGCTCTCCCGGATGAGGATGATGACCTGTGAGAATGAAGCAGGAGCCCAGCGTCAGAAGTCTAGTTTTATAGGCAGCTGTCCTGTGATGTCAGCGGTGCAGCGTGTGTGCCACCTCATTATTATCTAGCTAAGCGGAACATGTGCTTCATCTGTGGGATGCTGAAGGAGATGAGTGGGCTTCGGAGTGAATGGCAGTTTAAAATACACCTTCATTGTTTGGACTTGCATATTTAGCTGTTCGGAACGCAGTTGATTCCTTGAGTTTCAGATATGAGACTGCTGCAGTCACATCACAATATTCAGTGGTGAAATCTTGTTTGTTACTGTCATTCCCATTCCTTTTCGTTTAGAATCAGAATAAAGTTGTATTTCAAATATCTAAGCAAGTGAACTCATCCCTTGTTTAAAAATAGCATTTTGAAGCCACTAAAATAGAGATATTTATGCCATGTTAATGTTTGGATTGCCTTGCTGTCCTTAATTTGAAATCTGTTAGGTTAATTTCTTCCTATGTCTACTTTTTATTTTTGTACATTTGAGCTGTGTCTCACAAACTCAGCATGACAGGTCGACAGACTGTTTGGTTAGGAGAGTTAAACGGTGTAAAGACTGTGCAGGTGAAGTAAAGCGATGTCTGTTCCACCTTCATTTAGGGTAGGTAGGGCCCTCTTGGGAGGAACCTGCTCAAGATTTGTGACCTGTCGACAAAAATGTGGTTTGTACATACCAAATAGATATTTTAAGGGTAATACTTGGTTTTGTTTTGTGGCAAAAGTAATGTTTTGATAACTTCAAACAGGATGGAATGTCTGGATGGCGGGAGCTTGGGAATTCTTGGTGTTAAAAAGTATAAATTTTGCACTTTCTGTTTGAATGTCAGATGCTTAGTGTTAACTTGATACTCAAGGAAAATGGTCCGTGTTTACCCAGTTTTCAGGTACTCCCGGGCTTTCAAGATGTCTTAACATTCAGTTCTTAAGCAGTACACACACTATACTTTTTGGGGTTTTTTTTTTTGCCCTGAGGATTTGTAGGGCAGCGCAGCGGAGCAGGGCATGGATGGAATACTAGGAACGTGGCACAGTGGAGCAGGGGTGGGGTGGGGCGGGGCGGGGTGGGGGGGGCGTCTCAGTGGCAGAGAACAGCTGTGAAACTTTTTTATCAGACTAAACATTTAATTTATCTTGTATATTTTCCACATTTAAAATGAATTAGGTCTATCCTGATTAGGAGTTCGATCCCATCAATGCTATTCTTGTAGAAGTTAGGAATCTTAAAAATAAGAGCTATTTTTTCCTCAGTTACTACTACAGTCCAGTTAACCAAAGTTTTCTTTAGATGTCTGATTATCTGGAGATGATTACTTTCCTACTTTAAAAGGTGTAGAAAGGATCACT